ACAGCTGTATGACACGTTTCCAGCTGTTAGTATCATGGTTGCTAGGCAACCTGGGCAGCGCGACGGTGGCTAGACCGTCCCATTTCACAAGCCTCGCACTTCCGGCCTTCACGGTCTTTGAGTACGCGGCCCTTGAGGATCGTTGCGGCTGCGTACTTTAAGGCTGCAGACCCTGAATTGGGACACAGCCAGTGAGTCACGGGTACACAGCTGTGCTGCACACATTCCAAGTTTTACCACAGTTTACGTTCACTGCCGCCATCTTGGATGTGGGCTCGCGGGCTACGTTTCATAATAAAATTCCGACTCCCAGTTTGACCTCGAACGCAGCACCGCTGGCTGGATTTCCGGCACGTGCAGGTTTTACACACCTGTGAGGAGCAGCTTCCGCTGCAGCCGCCGGTGACGGTCGAGCTCCTCCTCGTACTGCACGAAGGTTTTCTCCACCTCGCTGAAGATTTCCTCCGCGGCTGCCGTCAGCCTCCGCTGGATAAAGTCCTTCAGATACTCAAGAGTACACATGACTACTGCAGTAACCCGAGTACTGAGCGGGGGGATACTACACCGTGCTCCGGCTCGGTCCGCGCCTCAGGAGAGCCGCTGCTGCTAACCTGCTTCTTCTACGCATGCGCCCAAAGGGCTTATTCGTGTCCCAGAGTTTCATAATAAAAGCCCTGTACAGACGAAAAGCAAATGTAAAATGTCTAAAATGGAGAGATTTGTGGCAGGTTGCAGGATTAAGATGAAAAACTTGCTTCATGAGTCAGAATCATCCAGAGTTTTAAAGCTAAACCAAATAAACCCGCAGAAGAAATCATTTTTGTTTTTCCGAGTTATTTAATAAAAGCTTTACACTTCACACTTTACTCATCAGATAAGCTTTGTTTTTATAAAGTACATCCATCCACGAAGCAAAGAAATTATTTGAAAAATGCATTATTGCACAAAGTAGCAGTAAAAACAACAAAGACACATTTTCATATTTGTTCTTTATTCTCTTCATCTGTAGGGTACCATGCTGAAAAACACCTGATATTTATACACCTGATGGAAATGTGTTTAATCTTTCTGCCGCCTGGTTTAAACCCTGTGTGGTCTGGAGCTGTCGAGTCCAATAACACAGCATCCACTGTGACAGCACTGAGCAGCTCCTTCAGTGGGAGGCTGCGGCACCCACGGTGTGGGACGGAGAGATTTCGCAGGTCTTTCCTCCCCACTGCTGTCAGACTCCATAATAAAGACTTTAACTGATCAAGCACACACATCCATACATGTGCAATAACACTAAGTGCAATAATCCTTTCTGTCATCGTTGTATTTTTACTCAGTTGTATATAGTATTTGTATTTGTATTCTATTTTTATCTTATTGTATGTTTATTTTATTCTATTCTGTACAGCTGTGTACTGTATTTATTCTTATTGTATTCTAATTTTTGCCTCATAACTTTTGCACTGTCCACTCCTGCTGTGACAAAACAAATTTCCCACGTGTGGGACTAATAAAGGTTATCTTATCTTACCCCATGATTCAGCTGAGAACACTTGCATATCCGCTCCACGGACGAGCAGGTGGATAGCGAGAGAGTGAGGTCTGTAAGTGGGAGAAAACTGATGGGCTACAAATGAGCTCGTGGCACAGCCACACTAAAGTTCAGGAGCACGTGAGCCACAGCGACGAATGTAAGGGAGAAAAGGTTCGTCAGACTCTGGAAGGAAAGAGAACTTATAGAAGCTGCTTGTTGAAAACTTCAGACTCCCAGTGGCTTCCCCTCCACTTCCCACTGTTGTGACAAAATTCCACAGAGGCTGTTGTGGAAATTGACATTACCACAGGAAGCACATACAGGCACACAGACTGAATAACCAAGATTTTCTCAAAACATATCTTTAGACTCAAAAACACACGCCCACTCCCACTGCTAGTGCCACTCGATTAATTCAGTGGCAGATGTCATGGTGCACAGCAAGAGGACGTCTCCGCTGCGTGGTGCAGTAACGCTGATACAGTCACAGCCTCTCAGCTGTGTGGTTTCTCAGGAGGATTTTAAAGAAGCTTTTCTTCCACATTCAGCAGCTCCTCCTCTGTGCCTTTTAAGTGACGACGAGTCAGCGAACCTGGTCCCACAGCTCTTGCAAACATAAGGCTTCTCCCCTGTGTGAGACCTCATGTGGCGTAACAGATTACTGCCTCGATTGAAAGACTTCCCGCACGTTTCGCAGGAATAGGGCTTCTCACTCGTGTGGATTTTTGTGTGGGATAATAAATTACTGCGCCGATTGAAAGACTTGCCACACGTTGGGCAACAAAACGGTTTCTCACCTCTGTGAATTCTGCTGTGGACGTACAAATCAGTTCTTCGATTAAAACCTTTCCCACATGTTTGGCAAGAATACGGCTTTTCATCTGCGTGGATAAACATGTGCATGTTAAACGTTGACAATTTAAAAAATCTCTTCCCACAGATGTTGCACAGATAGGGCTTCTCGCCGGTGTGCACTCTCGTGTGGACCAGCAAAATGGACTTTTGAGCAAAACCTTTCCCACACGTTTTGCAGGAATAGGGCTTCTGGCACGTGTGGACCGCGGCGTGCCGGGTAAGGGTCGATGAGGTCAAGCATCTTTTCCCACAGGTGTTACAAACATAAGGCTTATCACCTGTGTGTGTTCTCATGTGCACAGTCAGAGCATCCTTCTGAGAAAAACCTTTCCCACACATCTCACAGGGATACGGCTTCTCGCCTGTGTGGATTCTCTGATGTCTTTGCATCCGGGATCTGTACTTGAAGCCTTTTCCACAAACGTCACATGTTACAGATTTGCTGGCCGTGTCAGAGTGACGCTGGCTCGGAGCGTCGTCTGCACCGAGACGTCTGCGATTTCTCGTTTTTGGCTTTAAACCGAAACTCGCAGTTAATCCTGAGTCAGCATTCTTGCTTCCTTTCTCACTTTCTTCCACCATGAAGGTCTCAGTCTCCTGGCTCACCTCCTGACAGAACTCCTCCTGTTCCTCTTTAATCTGTGGAGCTTCTGGTTCCTCCTGGTCCACACTGGAGCTCCTCTCCTGGTTCCAGAGCTGCTGCTCAGTGAGAACCTCCTCCTCCTCCTCCTCCTCCTCCTCACAGACATGCTGCTGTGGGACGTCTAAACAAAGGTGCACAAGAAATAAGTTATTATTTCCACTTTTGCATAGAAGAAATAAAAATGACCGATTAGTGAAGCTGAGAAGGAGATGAAGGTAAACTAATATTCTGTTGGTATGTTTGCATTTAGTCCTATTAAGTCTGGTACAAACACCGGGGGATAAATTAGGCTCAGAACATTAATGGGATGACTTGTGCCCGGTGGCTCCACTGACAGAGATCACAGGTTTGAGACCAGGAGGAGACACAGGCCTGTCTGTGCTTCCCGCTGATCCCAAGCCTGGATAAATGTGCGGGCAGCATCAGGAGGAACAGCTGGTAACATGTCACTGAATGAAAACGTGGACTCTTCTGCTGAAACTAGATCCTGACTCAGATCCACAGGAGTCACACTCGGCTGTGGTTCACTGAAATGGTTTCATGCTACACACCTGTCCTTTGTGTCTTCATCTGTGGGCTGCAGGTGACGTCCTCTTGTTCCTGCTGAGGACTGCTCTCGTTCCAGATGATGACGTCTACACTCTCCTCCTTCACTACCAGCTGCTCTCCCTCCTGTTCCTCTTTAATCTGTGGAGGTTCTGGATCCTCTTGGCCACAGAGCTGCTGCTCGGGGAGAACCTCCTCCTCCCTGCTGACATGTTGCTGTGGGTTGTCTGCACATGTTTAAAGCACAAGGCAAGCAAAGGTCGAGTGCTTTATTGAAAACACCACATTAAAACATACGACTACTGCTGATTATTTTTATGTGGCCAAAGCTTCAGACATCCATGAAGAAACCGTGGATCCGACTTGACTCTTTAAACGCGAACATTTAAAATAAGCTGACAAAGAAATGCTCATTTTTTCTCACTTTAAACGATTTGTTTCGTGAACACAGTCCAGATTTATGAGATCAGCGCATCACTGGATTCATTTTCATGTGTCTGTATTTCACACAGCATCCTGTCTCTACTGCAACTACCAGGACGGACACGTGACAGAAACACCGGAAGTACTGAATGAACATTAAAAGTAAAAAACGTTCTCATGAAAACAGAGAAAGGCGTGTGCGCGTGCCCTGTCCACCGTGACCTCCCCACAGGCTGATTCTGTTCACCGGGACAAACTTCTCATCATCATCAGGTGACTTCCTCAGTCTCAGCTGACTGCAGGTTTCCAAACAAACAGCACGTGTGCACGATGACTGAAACCGTGACGTCACTTTATGATCACTAATATGCAAATTATCACGACCATCGATCAACAACCACTGATCACAGACGTGACGTCAGTAATCTGTTAACGCCGTTTGCGTTCGCTGCTGTGTAGCGTGACGCGTTTCTTCTGCTGGTTCTTTTACCCTCAGTGTTTCTGTCACGAAGCCCGTGGAAATGATTCTAGCTTTCCCACAGAGCTCCACGTCACAGACTCACCTGTCCTGTGCAGCTTGATTTGGGGTTTCCAGGTGATATCCAGCAGTCTGCGCTGACGGTCGATCTCTTCCTCGTACTGGACGATCGTTTTTTCAAACTCCAAGAATATTTGTTCAGCAGCAGCAGTTAGTCGCTCGTTGATGAACTCTCTCAGATACTGAGCTGAAGGCATCGTTGCTGCCGCAGCTCACACACTCAGCTCACACAACAACAACAGTTTTCATTGATTACTTCCGCCGAATTTCTTCTTCGTCTGATGAATTTCCAGCAGCTTGCGGACTGTGAAATGTAGTGCTGCCCTCTACAGACAGGAGTGTGTTGGACAGCCGGACTCGATCACAGCCGATCTGCGGTCTGTTTGGACGTTTGAGACTGAAGATTAAAATAAATAATAAGTAAAAATGAAGAAATTCAAAGAAAACTTTCACCAGTTTACAACAAAACAAACTAACAAGCAAGAAAAATTAACAAAAAGGGCAAAAAGCACAACAACAAACTGCAAAAACAAACAAAATAACAACAATAACAATAATAATAATAATACATTTTAATTGAAAAATGACCACTAATGGTACATTTCTGGTAGTTTAACAGTATAAAGGTTTTGGAGAAAATTGCAAAATAACAAGAAGGCAAATTTTAAATATTTGTAAAAATTATGAGAAAATGTTTGTATGTACAAGAAAAATGGCGTCGAGTGGGCGTATTTAGGAAAAAACAACTCTGTTTGACAAAAAACCCCCAAAAAACTAAAAGTTTTCCAAATTTGTTTCTAATTTTAATTTTGAGTTAATGTTGAGTTTGTTGATTTTTACACTGTTCTGTTTCCATGATTATCTCAGTGTTTTTGGTTCTGTGTGTGTGTGTAAATGGACTGATTCTTATATAGAGCTTTTCTACTCTCCCGGCGTGCTCAGAGTGCTGTATACAACATGGCACATTCACCCAATCACACCCATTCTCACAAGCACTGACTCTAAACTGAGTGCTTTTCTAACGACGTTCGCACACATTCACACTCCGATGGATGCACCAGAGAGCAACTTGGGGTTAGTATCTTGCCCAAGGATACTTGGCATGCAGACACACACACACTTTCTCGTGCAGCCTGCATTATCTGAATGTAACCGTGCTTCTTCTTTTAGTGGTTGTGAGCTTCAGCTGCTTCAGGTCTGCCTGGTTGTTGGTTCGTGTGTTTGTGCTGCTGATCGTCCTCCTTCTGTCTCGGGCTGTTTTTATGTCTCGGTCGCTCTGCGTTCATGTTAGGTTTAGTCTCCTCTGATTATTTCCTGTTTGACTTTGAAGTTTGATTTTCTTTCATGCAGTGTGCTGGTTTGACTTCCTGCCCTTTGGTTTAATAAGCTGTGTTTGAACAGCTCAGTCTTCAGTTGGCCTCTGTGCTGCCAGTTAAGCTCCACGTGTGGTGCTCATGTTTTAGATGATCATGTCTGCAGTTATAAAATGTCTGCAATATAAACACACATTTCAATTATAAAGGGCAGTTTGTTTGAACAGGAGATTTATGTGACTGCAGCTGAAGAATAAGGAAAACCTTGTGAAGCTTTAACAGGTATTTTTACTGGACTCAGGCAGCTGAGGCCCTTTTGAGGTCAACTTTAAGCCCTTTGAATAAGCAGATGTGCTCTGGAGTGAACTTAATGTGAATGAATTTGCTTTCATGTCATGTTGTTCACAAACAAATCATGAGGTCATGTGACACACGCGATCTGTAACTGGACAGTAAGTAAAATGTTGCAGATTCGACTCTGAAGTCTGCACCGTGGGGATGTTTTACCTTTACTGTAACTGACTTTACTTCTGTATCTGTGCTCGTTTCTTCCCCCTGCAGTGAAATAATCAAAGACATCGAAAACTGTGGGAAGAAATGATCCTGTGATCATCTCCCTTTGTTCTGCTTCCTGCTGATTAGTAAACAAAAGCTTCTTGGAAACACACAGATGAAACTCCTCCTCATGGTTACTGCAGTGTTGCTGTTAAACTCTGATGGTTCTGGGTTTGTTGTGCTTCTCGTTGCCGTTCTGGGTCCCTCTTCCTGTTTTATTTGAGCGATTGCTTCTCCTCACATGCCTGCCCTGTCTTCCCTTCCTCTCTTTGTCTTCCCTCCTGTGTGATTGCCGCCCCGCCTTGATTGTCTGCAGCTGTGCTCGGTTCCCAGCTGCGTCTCGTTGTGTAATCGGTCCCGTGTGGTCTCGTCTTTCCCTTTGTGGAGAGATGTTTTTGCTCCGTGTGCTTGTTTGTGCATTCCTCTCTGCTCCATCTTTCTCTGGGTTTCAGTCTCCTGCTCCCTTAACAAATGTATTAACTACTCAAAGTTAGCATTTAGTTTGGATCTTGATTGTTTTATTTTAATGGATTTGTTTGAAAATCTGATCACTGTCCAGACTTTATTACAAGGCTGAAACTGTTTTGTGACTCGTGATGGTTTTAGCGCAGCATATTCTGTCTTTGACAGTGTTAGAGGAATCTGGATGAATGGTTCCCAAAATACAAATTCCCTCCTGTTTCTCGTCCTCGATGGAAAACATTAAGGTGAAGGAAAGATGCGACTGTTCTGATGCAGCGTGCCTAATGCTGTGTCGGTGGATGTTGATGTGGGTCCATTGTAATGAAACTACAACATCCCGAGGACCAGATGAGATCCTCCGAGCTCACCTGTGTGCTGTTACAGGCTTGATCAGTTTACTGCTGGTAGCTCAGCCATGCAGGGCGTGTTTCTGGGCGTGTCTTCATGCAGGCTGTATTAACACATCAAGATTATTCAGATTTACTTGATGTCAAAAACAGCCCATAGAGAGAAATCAGATGTTTCTCACATTCTGGTTAATTGCACTTCCTGTCCGCTCATCTCCTGCTGCAGAGACCCAGCACAACCTCAGGAAGGACTTCAGCCACGATGAGCCTGAATGCTGGTGAACCCTAAACCCACAGATACTTTTATACAGCTCAATCTTAACAAATTAAGATTAAATTAAATTGCACAACACAACTTTACAAGAAGCAGATTTTATTTATATCACAATATGATGATCATACTTCAGCTGAGGGTTCATCACAGCCTGTAAGGGTCAAACGAATCAGAATAAAATGGAAAACACAGGATTAACATTTTCATGATCTGAGCCGCGTCGCTTGGTTCGATCGCTCGTTTCCCGAAACGGGACGGCATCGTCTCGTTTTCCTAAAGCAGGGGTGTCGACCTCCAGGCCTCGCGGGCCGGTGTCCTGCAGGTTTTAGATCTCACCCTGGGTCAGGGTTAGTTAGGGCTAGGTTGATTGGTTAATTACCAGCCCTCATGTTAATGAGATCATTCAGCCATTTAAATCAGCTGTGTTGGATCAAGGACACGTCTAAAACCTGCAGGACAGCGGCTCTCGAGGCCTGGAGGTCGACACCTGTGCCCTGAAGGATCCTCTGCTGAAGGACGTAGTGAAGGAAGCACTGTATGACCTTTCCTTAGTATCCGGAGAATTCAGCCACCTCTGCTGATGCTGCAGAAACTTCCATGGCACTTAATGCACAACACGTCTGTATCACCACGCCATTTCTGGGGCCGTCCTTCCACTGGGAGCACTTTCATACTTCAGATATTCTGACCACACCTTCACGCAGACTCTGACCTTTTGCTTACAGCACAGATATCCTCACCCTCATGCGGCTGCAGACGAAAGCAAACATAATCCGGACAGAGGAAGATAAAGTTTGTACCCACGGTCAGCAACGTCTCGTAATTGTAAAACGATTCAAAGTTGACGCAGTCACAGAACACCCAGGAAGACAAAATGTGTCCAAACAGCCCACATGTAGCAGAGGTAGAGAGCTATGACGTGACACACGTGATGTGTTTTACTTGTACAAAGACTAAACCGTTTTCCCTTTCAGTCCTGAACACTTCGGGACTTCTCACTTGTGCCTCTTTTTGTGAAAATTCATCGTCGAGGCGTCCCGAAATCTTTTCCCGCATATGTCGCAGGGAACGGGCTTCTCGGCGGCGTGAGTCCTCGTGTGGCGCAACAAGTCGTTACTTTGGCAGAAACTTTTGCCGCAAATTTTACAGGAATGAGGTCTCTCGCCGGTGTGGATCCTCATGTGGGACGCCAAATTATCCTTCCGACCGAACCGCCTCCCGCAGAAGCCGCAGATAAACGGCCTCTCGCCCGTGTGGGTCCTCATGTGCAGGATCACGCTGTCCTTCCGAGTGAAACCTTTCCCGCACACGTTACACGAGAACGGCTTCTCGCCCGTGTGAGCCCTCATGTGGATCTCCAGATTAAAGCGTTTACGAAAGTGTTTCCCGCATATTTTGCAGGGATACGGCTTCTCGTCCGGGTCGCTTATGTCTTGTTGCATCATCAGAGGTTCATTCCTAAAGCTTTGCATGTAAACAGGGCCGCTAAATATCAGGCCGTTGTCCACGTTGTTGTACATCGCTTGCACAGCCGATCCCGAGTCCACGTGGTTGCCTCTGTCCTGACGTCGGCTCTCGGCCACGGGAGAGCTGTGAGAGGGGAGCTGCTCCCGCTCCGGTTCTGGGTCGCTGTCGTCACTTTCCCCGTACGTAACGGTCACCATGATGGTGTCGCCGTCCTCGTCCAGAACGAGCAGCTCTCCCTCCTGACTGATGCTGAGCTCCTCCTCCTCCTCTTTGATCCGTCGAGCTGCTGGTTCCTCCTGGTTCAGGCTGGAGTCCCTCTCCTGGTTCACGAGAACCTCCTCATCCTCGGAGAGGCGTCGCGGTCGGAGGTCTGGAGGGACAGAATGACACGAATGTGATGACAGAAAAACACCGGAGAAATATTTCACTTATAATTATTAGAGCTCTGCGGGGTAACGTATGTGCAAATGATCAAATAAGATAATAGCTCAGGACTCAGAGAGCAGCTTCTGTCTCCATAATTCGGTGGAGAAATGAGCTTTAGGGCGACGCCGCCGTCTGCACTCAGCTTTGTGTTTGCACAACAAGACTGACGTCATGTCTCTGCCCGCTTGTTCAGTCTGATGACCAGAAGCTGCTTCAGAAACCCGCCTTCAGCTTCCACCAGGAAACAAAGTGACTGTAAAATCAGTGACGTGTAACATCCAGGCATCCGCGAGGAGGCTTTTCAAAGTTTATTTAGCCAGCTGACGTCTAAAGATCTGTTAGGATTAGCTTTGCTATGACTGCAGACATAACAAGGACACAAGGTGGGAGTGGAGCTGGGAGATCAGCCTGGGGAAAATCTTGCACTGCGGCTGCTGGAGCAGGACTACCAGCCGACTTTGAGGCCACTCAGGCGGGGGAAGCGGTTCTCAGCCCACACTCCTGACGTCAGCTGGAGAGGAAGGAATGCTTGGATGATCTCCTGAATCCCACTTTCTAGTTTTTCTTCCACTCCTCAGGAGCAGCTGCAGGGACTCTGAAATGAACCTGTTTGCATGATCGCCGACAGAAATCAAACCTCAAAGACAGCGTCTGCTCCAAACTGGCTGCTCGTGGGTTAAAAAACACCAGTGACCGCAGGGATTGGATCTGCATGTTTATTCTGTGCAAGAGTGGCACACACAGTAACAGAACACTGGCAGAGCATGTGGGACTCAGCGCTCTTACACAATCCTCCACAAAAGTACAGAGAAGACGACAACGCAACACGACAACTGTGAAAGCAGCAGAAGAGAGAACAGACACACAGCCCGGCTCGCTCTGATTTCACAACCACGTTAGACCCAGACACACGTCAGTAACGAGCCCGCGCTGTTTTTACGCAGTTTAAAATACAGACGTGAATATTAAAGTTTCAGATGAGCCAAAGGAGAGAGAGCGACAGCTAATCTGACGCTACGAACAGAACCAGCTCGTCTGTGCGACGATCTTAACGAGCTGCTTATTAAAAAAGATCCTAAATATCCTCAGTTTGTTTGGTAAAAACGTATCGGCGCTTGTCTGATGAGGCGCCGATGAAAGTCTGGAGATCTGCAGCACTGAGGCTACGTCCACACGTAGTTTTGAAGATGCAGCTCTTTCTCTGCGTTTGGTCTTTCATCCACCCCCCCCAAACGCCGTTTGGAGCACTGAAGACTGAGACTTAAACTCCTCCCAGGGTGGAGATTTTCAAAAACTCAGTTTTTGTGTTTACGTGTGGACGAGAGATTCAGTCTTGCAGCGCCTTTTGTTTACATGATGGGTTTCTACAGTGGTGCAGACAAACTGTTGCTGTTAGTCGTGCTGCCTGCAGTATTTACACGCTTACACACTTTCTTGTTTTTTGCTGTTTCCAGTGTGATGTTGAGGAATAATGTCTGTCCACACGTACGACTCGTTTCTTTCTTTACTCTTTCCCTCCCGGCCTGCAAGACTTCTGATTGGCCAACATTTCTGCATGGTTAGGATTTGGCATGTTCTCGACAGCGTTTGACTTCATTTTTTGCGTTTACATGTGGACGGAGATCTCAAACATGCACGTGTGGATTTTATACTTTTTTGTTTTTGAAAATGGAAAATCTCCATTTAGAAAAATACTTGTGTACGTGTGGACGTAGCCTGAGAATCGCCGCTTTTAAAAGGTTATTCTTTCTAATACCTGTACTGATGTTCAGTCTTGCCTCTGACACCCTCCGTACAACAATAACGGGCAGCCAATCAAAAAAAAGTCAGCTTAAAGGGAGGCAGGACGATCTCTGACGCTGCATCACAGCTCGCTGTCAGGTGAAGATCGCTTTGAGCAGAGAATCATGCAAAGCCACTGTAACAGCGTCACACAGGGAACGCACTCGGCCGTCGGTGCACCGTCGCTGAATGTTTAAGATTTCAGAGGCGGCGACCCGGGTCAGCGTCGGACACTTTCCTAAATACTAGAACAAAAGCGATACTGTGAAAGCTACAAATGCAGTGCTGTTCGGGCCAGAGCCAGCTTTTATGACTCCGCCCTGCACGGTGCCGGAGCTCGTCCGAACGCTCTGCTTATTGCCCGGGAGGTGGGCGTTTTCACCCCGGCCCCCTGCTGAGATTTCAGGACGACTTCTCGTCTGTGTGAGTCCTCGTGTGGCGCAACAAGTGACTGCTCTGAGTAAAGTTCTTCTCACAAATTTTACAAGAGTAGCGCTTCTCGCCCGTGTGCGTCCTCATGTGGATCAGCAACGTCCCGCTCTGACAGAAACGCTTCCGGCACGCTTTGCAGGAGTACAGCTTCTCGCCCGTGTGCGTCCTCATGTGGATCAGCAGCGTCCCGCTCTGACAGAAACGCTTCCCGCACGCTTTGCAGGAGTACAGCTTCTCGCCCGTGTGCGTCCTCATGTGGACGGTCAGGCTGCCCCTCTGAGTGAAGCTCTTCCCGCAGGTTTTGCAGGAATGCGGCCTCTCGCCCGTGTGGATCCTCGTGTGGCTCTTCAGGTTTGACGTGCAGATGAATCTCTTCCCGCACGTTTTACACCCGTACGGCTTCTCGCCCGTGTGGATTCTCATGTGGACCAACAGACTGTCGCTACACCTGAACTTTTTCGCACATATTTTGCAGGAGTACGGCTTCTCGCCCGTGTGAGTCCTTTCGTGATATTTCAGTAAGTATATCTGATAGAACTTCTTCCCGCAGGTGCTGCACGCGAACGGCTTCTCGCCCGTGTGGATCCTGACGTGTCTTTTAATTTGGGACTTATCCTTAAAAACTTTCTCACAAACGTAACATTTCAAAGGCTTTTTACCTGCGTCCGTATTACCCTGACTCTCTGACATGGGAGCGCGCTCTGCACTGTCACTTCTGCTTTTAGCGAGTCTCTTCGTTGGCTTTGGCTCTGCGCCCGATCCCGAGGCTGCGTTCGTGCCCTCTTCCTGATCTCGGCTCTCGGCTGCAGGCGGGCTGTGAGACAGGAGCTGCTCGCTGATTGGCTCTGTTTCACTGTCACTTTCCCCGTAAGTAAGAGTCACCATTAAGGTATCGTCCTCCTCCTTCACTATAAGGTGCTCTGCCTCGTAGGCGGTGCAGAGCTCCTCCTGCTCCTCTTTAATCTGCAGAGGCGCTGCATCCACCCGGCTGGTGTGGAGTTCTTCCAGTTCCTCTTTAACCTGCAGAGGTTCCTGCTCCAGCCTGGAGTTCCCCTCCTGCTCAGGAAGAACCCGTTCCTTATTACAGTCAAGTTGCTGAGGAGGATCCAGCTTCAGGCTGGAGGTCTCCTGTTCAGAAGGAGCCTCGTCCTTATTACGATCATGTTGTGACTCCTGCTCCAGGCTGGAGAGCTTCTCCTGCTCTGTAGGAAGTTTCTCCCTGTTGGAGTCATGGTGCTGTGGGAGGCCTGGAGGGACAGAGAGAGAAAAGGAAGGTCACCGGTGCGATGACAGAGAAACATCTGCTCATACACACAACTGGAATTTAACGATAATCAACAGATAATCGGCTTCATGTGTGTCATTTGCAAAGCTCAGAGTACAAAATACTTTTAGCTGCACGTCCCCGTTTTTGACCCACAAACTTTACCTCCTGTCAGGTGTGTTTTATCCTTTTAAACTTTATTGATCAATAATTCTGTTTGAGATCAGTCTTTTCTGAGAGAGTCCCAGGAGCACAACGACCACACAGCAGCAGAGTGTGTGCACATCGATGGCTGAATGTAGTTCATGACTGGAAAGAGTCAGACAGCATTAACGTTTCATGCACCAACTTCAGCTCTGAATGCAAGTCTGTGATCAAGTCAAAATCCCAGGCATTAGTAACTGCAGGCTGCTGTATGCAGCACATGTAGTTTTCTGCATTTAAACGAGTCCTTGAACGCATCACCAGCAGACCGTAGAGGAGTGCAGATCTGAGCCGGAAAGGCTCAAAGATATTTCAAATTACTGGGTCAGCAAAAAGGCAGCGATTACAGTTCTGATAAGGAGTAATTATAGGATTCATGTACCAATAAAGATGGACGTGTGTCTCTGTGAGATCCAACCGTGACTGAGCTGAGTGCGAAACCATCAGCAGGGTTCAAATTTCAGGGATCGCAGGCTTTTCAACCACAGACTGCTTGTTTGGTTGACGTGGCTCAGCGTCTGCTGTCAGTAAAAGGAAAGTAAATACTGGAACAGAAAAACCAGGTGTGAGTGTGGTCTGCATGTCACGGATGTTCTTCCTCAGCTGATTCACACGTGTCAGTCGGATGTACTGACTGACTGGTGTTTTTAAAGAAACTGGTACCGCTTTGATTCTTCATTTAGCTTTACTTCCTCTTATCTGGGCTCACAGAGCTGCTCAATAATAAAAACAGGAAGGTGACCACGAGCAGAGCTGCTGCTGCTAACAGTGTCAAGCCCGTTTCCTCATTCGGCTTCTCATTAATCTCCAGACACTGATTCTCCGGCCTCTCCATTCAACGCTTTCATTCACGACACATTAACGACGACGTGTTTGTCGCAGAGTAATGCCTTCAAATGTGATTCTTTCCTCTCTTGCTGCTATTTATAGGCGCTGCTCTGTCTTCAAGCAGGAAGTGGAAAATAAACAAACTCCCTGGTGTCTCTTTTTGTCTCCTTCCTCTTTCCTGAGCTGCAGCTGCACTCTCCTCTCTGAGCCACCAAACAATCAGCAATCAGCGCTACAGCGGGTGGCTCGCACTATTAATCATGCACGACATCAAATGACATCAAACCCCCGTCGCAGCTGCAGGAACCAACAACACGAGCGACTCTTCAAACAGAGGGATTCTTGGACTGACGCTTTGATCATGTGTTTGTTTGCATTTTCATGGACATCTGTACAAAACCATCCGTTCCATCTGTTACAGATGCGCCTCCTACGTGCTTAGTGTTTCCTTCCATTACTGACAGCACGTTGGTCACATGAGACCTCCCACAGTCCCCTGTGACAATCCCACAGGTGAGGCTCTATTGACAAAGTCATAGGAGTGTTTCATAGATGTATATTTGAAAAATGAGAGCAAAGACCGTCAGAGATTTTGGATACGTTATGAACAGAAACGTGGTCTTTCTAAAACAGCTGGTTTTGGTACACGGTGTCATAACTGGGGAATATCACACAGGCTGGATGAAAGTGTTTCCATATTCAGGCTTTAATAAAGAAGACATGCGGCCGACTGTTTAAAAGAATATTTTGCGCCTTGTGTATAAAAGTTACTTTTTTTTGCTTCTCTCTTATTCACGCTTGCTTTGCACAGCAGGAAGCTCCACAGGTCTGATTTACAGACTTTACACTGATTCTTGGTGCAACCCTGAAGGGATTCGGGTGTCATGCCTGGGAGGACGTGTACATGTCTGTGCCATCCGGGTCATTGTAGTCACGGTGTGAAGCACATTTTCACACGACTCATGTAACGTCCCTCAGGACTGTCTCACAGGGGACAACCCCCACTAAGGGTTACATGCCTCCACCGTTTGCTGTAGAACGAAAACTGGAGGGGTTCATTCATAGAAGCAGCTATGTACCCTGAACCCTGTGAAGGACCGAGCTCAGGGCCGTTATAGATGCTGGAATCTTACACAGCTTCTAACCCTTCAAGGATGTTTGAGAGCACCAATGGCAGCAGGGCCCTGACACTTTGCAGACAGTCGGAGGTCGAACTTTCACCGGGAATTGTTTTCAGGTGAGAGGTATTTAATGACGTGACCCTCTGCCCACTCTGGCCCCAGCACTCCTGCTCCATTAATCACCCCGCGCGTAAAAGCAGAGCTGAACGCGGATCGCCACCTCGCTGTCCGCTGACAGCGGCTCTAGCCCGGCCCAGCTCTGCGTGCTGCTGGGCCCACGGACTGTGTGCCGATCACAGCCATGTTAGTTCGGCCTCACTCGTTTCTTCCCGCAACAATCCAAACCCCGCAGGAAATACACGGCCTACTGTCCCGCAGCTCGTGTTCAGCTCCTGGCTGAGTAAATGTGCCGTGGAGCTCCGGTTAGGATCCTCCGTGAGGTGTTTTTCTCGCTGAGCGTGGACTCACCTATTCTGTGGAGCTTTATCTGAGGCTTCCAGGTGATCTCCAGCAGTCTGCGCTGACGGTCGATCACTTCCTCGTACTGGACGATCGTTTTTTCAAACTCCAGGAATATTTCTTCGGCAGCAGCAGTTAGTCGGCCGTTAATAAACCGTCTCAGGTCCCGATGTAAGGTCATCATTACTGCACCTGCGGAAACACGGGCCTGAAACAGGGTAAGAAAGAAAACCCCACCGCCTTCCACTCCAGCCCTCAGAGGAGTTAAGCTAACAATAAACCTTGAGTGGGTTTTCTTCTTCTCCTGGCAGACTAAACTCAGCGCAGGCGCACCGCTGCCCCCTGCAGGTCATTTGTAGACATACACTGCGTGTGTCACCCCGCATCACAGACGCATTTGGGCGACTTGTTGCACTTCTGGCTCAGTTACGTTTGGCCTGAGTGAAAACTGCATTAGGCCAGTTTCTCCTGTCGCCCAGTCTTAGTCTAGTTTCCACTGAACCGGCCCACTGAGAACCTGCTTTCACTTCCCTCCCTCCACTCTTGAAGCACCAAAAGCTGCAGTTAACTGTAGTAATAACAGAGCATCCAGGAAGTCCTGCTGAATGACATTCTAGGATTTTATGTGGATGTTAGTGAGCACTGATTATCAAGTATTTGTGTGATGTTGTGTGATCTCATGCAGGCCAGGGATGCAGCTTAGTGCATTATTTATTAATGATCTGGGTGAACAGAGCGATAATACTCAGATGGTGCACTGTTAAAAAATGTGAGCCAGCTTAAACTCTGAGTTGAGTCCCTGATCTGTTCTCTGGCACCTTTTCTCCGTGACTAAACTAATGGTGTGCAAATCTGCTGGAGGCCAGGATGTAACCTCCAGCTGCGGAAGACGCTGCTTGTGATGAACGAGTCAGTGTCTGTGCCCTGAAAAGGTGGATAATGAGGGAACAATGTATGGACTCATGAATGTTTTCCTGAAAATCTGCCTGATATCGTACGCTTTCCAATCCCAGCCGATGTCACGCAGCCCTGTCTGTCTGAAAGATGACTCACATCATTCTAGACATGCTTAGTTGATCAAAATCCTTTGAATTTAATCCAGATGTAATTTAATATATCCTCACATCATGAGCCATTTAACAACAAACAGTCTTTAACATTGTTATTGCACATACTTCCTGTTCCTCCAGGATCTGTTGTACAGATGTGGCTCCAGGGTAGCAGATAGTGGGGGTTTACAAGTGAAAAATCCCTGGTTTGATCCCAAGAGCAGACACAAATCCTTCAGGGACACATCAGGAAGGACATCTGGAGTAAAAAGTACCAAAGCTAACATGTGGAGCTACCCGGTGTGAATAAAAGAGCAGCTGAAAGCAGTTTCATCTACACTGCATCCAGGCTTTGTGGTGACTCAAGAGACAACGAAGTAACAGACTCCCATTATTAGATCTGAAAAACGAACAACAGGAATGTTTTAGAGTTTGCAACTTTTAAGCATCAAAAATGTTCTGATGGGTTAAAAATAAAATTCGAATCTCCGCGAAGATGATTTTATATTTGACTTTCCTTCTTCACACCCGTTAGTTTTCAGTGTTTACCTTTTATCACGTGGACGCTTCGTTTGTGTGGGCGGAACGAAAGTTAGACGCCGATGCGCTGTCGGAACCTCTCATTGTGACACACAGAGGAAGTAAACAGATAGTAGTTTTATTTCTGTTGAGCGGAGACTGTGCGGCAGCAACGATGCCTTCAGTTCAGTATCTGAGAGAAAACATGTCAAAAGTCAACATCTTAGTGCAGTAAAAAAAAGAGGGAGACAGGGGAAGCTGAAGGGGGCAGCAGTAGATGAGTTTAAATAACTCGGGTCAATAATCAAAACAGGCAGGCAGGGAGGAGAGTGTCACGGGTGATCTGTGACAAAAGGACAGCAGCGTGAGTGAAGGGAGTGAAAGGGCAGGTTTAAAGCTGGCAGTGAGGCCTGCTGGGATGGATGTTTGGAGATGGTGGCTCTGACACGAAGACATGAGGCCGAGCTGAAGATGATCACATGTTCAGCGAGCAGCATGGATCAGAGATGAGTCCATCAGAGAGGAGAGGCTGAGAGGGTTTGGACACGTGCAGAGGAGGGAGGGTGGATATATCAGACAAAGGAGGATGAAGATGGAGCTGCCAGGCAGGAGGGAAAGAGGAAGACCTCAGAGGAGGTTCATGGGTGTAATGAAGGAGGACAGAGGAGGATGCTGGGGTAGGAGGAGATGGAGGGTTATCAGCTGCGACGCACTGCCAAAGAGAGTAGAGGTGCATGTGTGAAAACAGGAGAACTCAAGACAACCGGTGTACATTTTAGACCTTTTAGTTTTTCCCAGTTTTCCTGAAATCGTTTGGAACTGTGGATTCACTCTGTGCTGGCCTCAAACCTTCACCAGTTTAACCCGATGGAAAAACAAAAGCCTGCTCCGACACTCCTGCCGGGCGGCCCCGTTTCTCAGTTCCTCTAACCTGTTTAGGTCGAGGAGCTCCCGTCTGCAGCTCGTCATAACGCAAACATGGGCTGAAAGCAGGAAGCTGCTTCCTGAGTGGTGACCAAACGTTCCCTACATGAGTGAAACCTCTCGTGGAAGCAGCCACAAAGAGCCGCAGATGCAGACTTTAAGTTTCACTTCCCTGTGCTGGCTTGGTTCATTTCAGGATAGATCAGACGTTACTTCCAGCTTTGAAGTTTTATGAACTGTTAAAGTTGCAGAGCCGCTACATTTTAAAAGATCAGTTCCTTCTTGTCCATTATGTTTTCCATGATAATCATCTTAATATTTACTCAGCAGCCCTGATTTCAAGCATGTAGATCAGCTGTGATCTTTTTTTCTTTTTGTGACATTATCAACCCTTTATCCCTCCAGACGTCCCACAGCAGCAGGTCTGTGAGGAGGAGGAGGAGGTTCTCCCTGAGCAGCAGCTCTGTGACCAGGAGAGGAGCTCCAGTGTGGACCAGGAGGAACCAGAAGCTCCACAGATCGAAGGGAAGCAGGAGGAGCAGCTGGTAGTCGGGCAGCAGAGCGATCCCTTCATGGTCACTATACTTACACAGCACGCATAAACTGTGTGAACGACTCTCACATGTTAGAGCGCCACTGTGTGACAGACGCAGGAAGAAGAGGGTGAAATGTGATGTTTGTGGAAAAGCCTTTCAGCACAGGTCCCGGATGATAAAACATCGCAGGATCCACACGGGCGTGAAGCTGTACGCCTGCGACACCTGCGGAAAAGGCTTCGTGAGGAGCGATAAGCTGGCGCTCCACATGAGGATGCACACGGGAGAGAGCGCGTACACCTGTGGCACCTGCGGGGAACGGTTCATTCAGTCCGCGATGTTAAAAACTCACGTGAGAAGTCACACAGGTGAGACGCTGGACCGCAAAACCTGCGGCACACCTGCGCCGCATGAAGATCCACACGCGAAAGACCAAGCCGGCCTGAAACGCCTGAGGGAGGGGGAGGGGCTTCAGGTATCAAGGTGATTTTCAAATCAGAGGTTTGACTATTTTTAAACTGAGATTATTTTTATTCGATTTAACCTTTGGGCCGTTGGTGAGGTCGTCCACCTCGATGGACGGGTGCTGGTCTTCCATGAGTCCTAAATAAAATGTATGTTTCACTGATACAACACATTTCTAACATCAAAGTCACAGATTTGCTTCTTTGCTTTTCTAAATGATGTGTAAAGATTATTTATGTATCTGCATGTTTTATATGTAATTCAGTTCATCACAACAACCGTCACCTCGAGGCACTTTGTGTTGCAGGTAAACAGCTTCAGTATTCGATACATGTGTTTTGTTTGTCATCAGGTGACTTTATCACTGCTATGATTTTACTGACTGACCGAGTTGAGTTTCCATGGTAACGCCAGCTGTTTCAGGCATACCCGAGAAAGTTACCGAGGTTAACGTTTTCTGTTTTGGGTTGTTGTGCAATCAAGTCTCCATTTTCAAGACGTTTTCATGCTGAAAGCAGAGATGGAACATATCTGGGTCCCACTCATGAAGCTGGGTCGGTATCGGGGCACAGCGGGGCGATCTCAGCTTTCTTCCACGTGCTCTGCAGGCCACAGCTGCAGTTAGATGATGTGTACTGTTTGGGGGATCATTCTCAGCTGTGTGCTGGGCCAGATTTGGTCCTCGGGCTGTGAGGTTGACACATGAATCCTAAACCTAACAGGTCAAAGTAAATAAATATATGTGCTGCTGAGAGGTCGAGGCACAAGGCAATGTGATGAACATTTACTGCAGCAGGTTTCAGCAAATAAAAACATGCCTTTATCGTGTCGTCATCATCTGCTATCATTTTCCTGTCGTTTCACGTTGGAGCTGAATGTCAAACGGGTTTAATCAGAATCAGAATCAGAATCAGTTTATTGCCAAATGTTGAGCAGGTTTACAACATTAGGAAATTGCTGCGGTGCTTCAGTGCAAACATGGTGTCATAAATAGCACTTAAATAGACATGGAAAAATAAAAGTAGGGATAAGAATTAAGAGTGCTACGTAGAAAGATATGTGCATGAGTGCAGGTGGTGATCAGTGCCAAACATGGAATGATGCAGTGACACAGCGTAGGGTCATGTGTTAGTGGCGGGAACAGTCATATGGTTATTGTGAAAAGTGTCTGATATGCCAGTAAAAAGAAATCTGTATGTGTACGCTGAATAAAAAGACTTTAAAAAAGACGTTTCCAGTGTTTGGTCACTCACATTTCTTTAACTTCAAAGAGTCGAGCTGTGGCATAAAAATAAAAGGGTGGCGTCTTTGTTTAGGTTCAAACATGAAGCTCACATTCAAGGACAAACTGATGAATGTCACCATTTTTCATCAGGATCAAAGTGAAAATGTTGCATCTACATGTCGACTCTGAGTTTTCCAGATAACTTACAAACTACATAATTATGAAACATCAAAAGTGATGGAATCGTGCAAAAAAACGAAGCTTTCTGTTGACATAATGTTCGGTTGTGATGCAGGTTTGAGTCTGAACCCTGAAAAATAGTTTTCAGAGTTAAAATTAGAGGTAAAGATTGAACATCTATTTAGCTCTTTAGGCAGAGGTTAAACAGCAGCTGCGAGGAATGAGGGTAATATTCTTATATTATCCATAGATGTCATTCACACCCAGAGTGTCTCTCCTTCATGTTGCTCTGTCTGCTGATGATCACTTCCTGTCCTCATCTTCTGCCCCCGGTGTTTTCATCTGTAGGAAACTTCTTTCAGTTTGAAATCATAACCGGCTGCGGGGCTTTTCCACTTCTGGTGTCCCAGAAAAATGAAGAACTTCAGTTTGTGTACAGTATTGTTTACC